GTCTGTTGTGTAGTAAGTCTGTGTACCACTTGAAATTAACAGAAGAGTTTTAGTTGAAATGTAATTGAAACTTCAGTTGGTAGATGCAGGCATTGATTGGCTCATGCTGATGGTTAGGGTATCAGAGAAGCCATGTGATGGACTCTAGTTCGTAGTGAAGGTTTATTCACTTAGTAGTGAGGTTACAAGTTCCGATTTGGGCACATTGCCACAGTATCACAGTATTTTCTGCTCGCTTTCCTGAAACTCAGCTTACTTAAATATGTGGATTCTTCTTACTCTATTTTCCAAGTCTCAGAAATGGGGAACGTGTGCTAGAGTCCCTTCTCAGGTTTTATCTGAAGATAAAACCAAAATTTTCAAGGGCTTTAATTGCTGGGTGTTTGTGTTGGGTTTCTCAGTCCATCTCCTTCCTGCTCCTCACTTTTTGCCTTCCTTTTATTGTTAACTTGCCCAGGGGTAGAAAAGCCACTGCTTCTAGGTGGACCACTACCGGAACTCCAACATCCTGGTACATCTCCTCTGTCTCCTGTGCTCTTATCTTTTCCTTTGGGATATTAAGAGTTATAAATAAGAAGTGATGTCATGTCAGCACCCAGCCACTCCTGTGCTGCTCCAGATTAATGCATAATGAGCAATCTTCTGGCAGATGAAATACAATGCCACCATGGGTGCTCGTGCATCACAGCTGTGGTATGTTTAATTTGTGCCTGGTTTGGAAATGAGGTTGCATTCTTTGAAATACTCCTTTTTTTTTTTTATTTAACCTGCTGCTTGTCCTGCCATGGACCTTAAACGGGCTCCTTTTCCTGATCTCTGATGTGACGAATTTCACGTGAAAGGCTTGTTCTAGCAGGCGACTTACTCTCTCATAGGAAAATGATTTGCTGCTTAATTACTTTGGAACAAATCGGGAAAATCGGGGTGCTGTGGAGAGCAGGCTGGTGCTTAGAGACAAACCTGCTTTCAAGTCAAGTAGAAATGGGTAAGATGCTGTAACTGCTCAATTCTTGGCACTACATTTAGCGGTGGCCATGTGGAAAATATTTGTGTATAACTGCAGTCTGCCCAAAAGCCAGGCAAGCTGAGGACAGTTGATGGCAACTTCACAGAGTGAAACCAAAGATCTGGGTTAACCTGGTTTTAAGACAATGATATGTAAATTCTTTTCAAGCAGCTCTTTGTTACTGTCTGCTTAAAAAATGGCATGTACATCCTGACTGTTGTTTTTTGTGCCTAGATGTGAAAGCATGTAACCATAAGATGATTCAGCATTTTTTCAAGGTTGAAAAGGAAGGAGATTGCTTCAATCTTGTGTGCTGATGCTTGCAATCTGCATTTGTACCCTTGAATAGCAAAGCCATTAGCACAGTGTGGTTAGAAGATGTGTTTTGTGAAAGCTCTCTCCCTTCCCCAGTCGGGAATTGGGAAGGATTTAGCTCTGTGATTGCACAGTGGGCAGGAAAACAGGGAGTATTAAAAAGTTCGTGCTCTTCTTGTGAACCAGTGCTCATGACCTTTGTGCTGGAAGCCATTCTCTGAGATGGAAAATATGGGGATGAATGTTTGGCTTGTACAGGCACCTAGCTGATTCTTGTATTTTACTGCTGTTGTGGGCTCCAAGAGAAAAGAGAAGTTACCAAGTTTGTGTTTGAAACCACAGTGTGGTAGTGGTGTCAGAGAACAGCATCTGCAGTGGTAGAGAAGAATGGCAAACTATTCAAACGAGTTAAGTTACTTTGAGGTCTCAGTTTTGGCAGTGGCATTGTTGAAAGGTGTGGCTAGTGCAGAATGTGGTATGGTTATCCATTCAGAGGTGAGGCTTTACACTGTGTCATGGTTTGAAAGCCAGTACCACAGTATAAACACTGGGGTTTTTTGGGTGTGTGTATGTCTTGTTTGCAGGCAGGGAAGTATCAGCAGAACATGGTGTTACTATGCAGGCAGTTGTAGAAACTAACATTTTAAAATTACATGGTATTTGCAGTTCAAATCTCCTGTGTATTTCCGCTGGAGCATGTGAGGAGGGTGAGTTTGCAATATTTACAGCAACAAGTAAATGAATTACATAAGAGGAGCCAAATGTAAAGTTGATCCTGCATTGCCCAATTAAAGCCTGGTGTTACTAGACCCCCTAGTAGCAAGCACAAGGTGCTTTTTCATGGCTGCAGTGTCTCCTCTGTTCATGATGGATGGTGGCTCAGAGTGCAGCGATGTTAAGCTCTTTCCAGGCAGGTGGGACTGCAAAGAAAGGCAAACTAAGTGAAACCTATGACCATATTTTTTCCATTTTTAACTGCCCAACCTTCCTGCCCTCCTTGCTAAAGGCTGAAATCACACAGTACTTCCTACATAATTTTAGTCATTTCCCCTTCATACGTTTTAGGGCCACAAGTGCCAAGTACTGAATTAAAACTTTGATCCTGAGAGACCATATCTAGCATAGCAAAATGTGACTGTAAGCTTCAAGATTTATTAGCAGTTAAAGGGAAGAAACAGACATCAACTGTTAATGTTTCTGTTTTAATGTCATGTTGCCTGTGCATTTGGGGATTAAAAGCACACACTGTTGAGGCTTGCTTCTCTTTATTTCCAAATACTTTACCCTCCAGAGGTGTGAGTTACATGGTGTGGGGCTGGTCTTGCACTGGGTAATGTGAGGGGAGGGAGCTGCAATAGTTGGCTCCCTGTCGTTATGCAGATAGGTGAGAAGTTTGGCTGTTCTGCTGCTCCCTTTGTCAGGTGCATTTGCAAGATAAATAGGGGCGGTTCAGGATGGAGTTGATCAGTATTCCCCTCCTCCTCCTGAAATTCCTCCCCTTCCACTGCTTGAAAGCCTTGTGTACAAAGGCCACTAAGATACAGGTCCTCTAGCTTGCCCTCTGAAGTGAGGAACAGTGGAATTTGTTCACCCCTGAGACTTGGTAGAAGAGAAGAGCTTTTGCAGCTGCTCCACCGAGATCCTGAAAGTTCTTGCTGAGTTTTCATCAAGGTGTTTCCCAAGTTGTATGTTCAGGCAGCATAAAGGCCAATAAACTGCTTGTCCTCCTGATTGCCTGGCAACGTTTAGAACCAGGCCCTCCCTTAAGTACAGCAGGAGGTGTGACTGTGGCTCTGCAATTGGAGCAATTGGAAAATACATGACTCCTGCCCTCTCTGAGGGTATTTAAAGCAAGCCTAACCCATCCTGTGCACATTCCTGGGTAACAGCCTGGTTGGTAAGTTACAGGTTCCTGTAATAGCACTTTTCCCCTCCTAGCAGGGATCTGGTTTATGCAAGTGATTCAATCTTCAGTGCCCCAGGCTGTCCTTTTCACTTGTTTGTGTAGGCTGAAGTGCCAGTGCAACCACCTTCGAGCATCTGGATCCTACTGGCAGGTCAAAGAGGAGGAAAAGTGAAGCCTGTAATCCTCTCAGGAAACTGAGGAAGGCTGGAAGTTGTCTGGAGGTCAATAGAGTCTCTCTTACCATAAGCTTAAGTAATCACCATTCAACTTTTAAGTGGGCTGGGAGGGACAAAATTTAAACACTTCTCTAACTGCAGCCTTGTTCCTAGGTGGTAAGACTGACCTGAGGTCTCCACTGAAACTGCTGAAATGCATGTGTCACGGCCCTCAGGGGAGTTTATCAAGGCATGGTAGACATGCATGCTTTCCTGCAGGGAAACAGCTTTCTTCCTTTGGTTTATAAGGCTTTTTCCACAGGTGGATGCTGACATTAGCATGAACACATTTGCTCCCCAGAGTCTGAGGGATGCTTTATGTGGTAAGAACTGCAGTGTGGCTTTGGAGTTCCAAAGCCAGGTCTGGTTAGACACCCCCATACTGCTCTGATACCTGGCATCAGGTGTGGGTTTTTCTTAACCTCTGCTTCCGGGGAACCAGAACTCCAGTGCTGACCATGGTTTTCCAGTGCTTCACCACAGCACTTCATGGCGTTTGTTACAGTATCATCAGGCACTGACCTGCACCTTGCTGTAGGCAGAGAACAGCAGCTCTCTGGTCTCCCCTGACCAAACAAAGCAGCAGCAGCTTTGGGCCACTCCAGTCCTGTTCCACAAAGGGGGCAGCATTAGTAACCTACACCCAGATGTAGGCTCTGCTCTGTGCAGGCAGAAGCTCAGAGGGTGCATCCTGGGCTTGCTACTGCCCAGGGCTGAGTGGCAGGGAAGGTTCTTTCACTGGAAGTCTGTTGGATGAGCAGTGCTTTCACACTCTTAACCAATAGCTGTTATTTTTCACATAGCTGTTTCCTTTGCCTTCCTACAGTACACATCCTCAGCAGAGAGAAAAGTTACAGCGTGTACTTCAGGTGTGGATTTTAGTACCTTCCTCCAAGGTGCATGATTGCTGTGGTCTCATTTAGTCTGTGCTGACACACGTTTCCCTGACAGCAAGTCACCCACTACTAATCAACTTCAGCAGAAGAAAGGAATGGTTTAAACAGTTTGCTTTTGATATTCTCAAAGAGCAAAAACTTGTACCTTCAAAATAATTCCATCCCTTTCTCCTCATGAAGGAGTTTTCAGGGTGTTATAAGCAGTTGTTATTTGAAGAACATGCAGCAGAACATGGAAGTTTACTGTCTTTCTTGGCATACCAGCTTTATTTATTTTTAAATGTGTAGATCAAGGGTCTGGAAGGCATTTTATCATGACAACTCAATTCGTATCAGCTTATGAGCAAGTTACTTAGTACTGCTTCATCAGTTCTGGAGCCAGTGTTGTCCTTTTGGCTTGCTAGCCTGAATTACATCAGTATAGCGTTAACTATCAGACATCAAAGATGAAAACTGGCACAGCAACACAGCGTTTGGAACATGAGCATTATGAGAGCAGTACATCACACAGGGAGGGTGAGCGTTAAAAACCAACAGTGCTATTCAAGCCTACCCAGGCACTCAGAATGTATCTCACAACATTCGCTCATCACTGACTTTGACTCGGAACGCGAAGTTACAAGGACTGGGTTAGCGGCAACACAGCTGTTGCACGGTGGGAGAAAGAACAGGTTTACTAAGATCCTGGTGGCACGTTAACAGCCTCCCCACGTCAGCCGTGCCACGTGGTCTGTTTTCTGCTTGCTGGGCTTTATGAAGCCCAAGAGTTCCAGTTCAGAAACAGCACGAATGAAACGAGCACTGGATGTTTCAGTTAGGGAAACTGCACTTTTTATGGTATGTATTGATGGAGACACTCACTTTAGGAGGGCAAGATCTCTTAAGTCCTGGTAAACACTGTTCACACTAAAACTGCTGGGGAAAAGGGCAGAGCATGATTTGCCTACAGAAGCACAAATCTTGAATCTAACCAGTATTTCTTTAGTTATAGGCACACTATGTGGCAACAAAGGGAGTTCCTTTCCCCACTGCTAGAACACACTTAAGCCTACAAAAGCTATTGATTTTGTAGTCTCTCAGAAGAAGAAAGAATTCTTACTTCCATGTCTCCTGACAAAACAATGGGAAGTCACATAATTACAGAGGTATTTTTTAGGGGATTTCATAAAGCAGCACCACCTTTTCTGTACTCCTCACTATACCTTTCTTGCTGCCTTCCCAACGCACAACTATATATCCTTGAGTTAAATAGAGAATTTAGTTTTGTGTTAATTATCAGCAGACCTGTAAAAAAGGCCTTATACTGGCTTCTACTGAGGACACTACTTGTATAATCATTTCTTCTGCTAACGCTTCCATCTTCCTCATCAGAAACTCCTCTCTCTGTTTCTTCATCTGCTCTGTAGGTCACAGCTATCCGACCCTCTGTTCCCCACCCCCCGTACAGCAGCTGTACCAACTCTCAGATGATTTAACCGAGTAGAACAGCTTCAACTTGGTTTACAGTCTGTTGGTTTCATTTCAGACTCAAACAGCTCCTATGGTCAGAAGCTGCTCTCTTACCTCGCCACCCCCAGCCCAACTGCTGATCAGCTGATGTGTTTCTGTGACATTTCCAGTACATTAAGGCTGTTTAAACCAGCCTCACTTTCTGGAATTAGTTACCAGTGCACGTGAAGCTGAATTTTAAAAATCTACGTCCGTTAATCCTGTGATTAACAAATGTCAAACTTGAGAGCAATGAGAAAGGATACTGGATGATATCATCCACCTGGTCTGAGGAAGCTGCATCTGCATTTGGTCCCTCAACTGCCGTCACCACTGTTGAGAAAGCCTAGAAAGGGAAAAACAGCACAGATTTAACACGTCGTAGACAGAGCTTCATATAAAACAACAAGCTCTGAGCTGATGACTATCAGGAGGAATGAGATCTTGGAATAGCAATTCCATGAGAACGTCAGTTCAGCAGCCATCAAAAGAGCAAGCAAGGTTACACATTAGCATGGCAGGAATACAGAATGAAAGACCTCATTCTCTGAACTCGTGTGCCTGCATTTTAAATCCCAATACAGTTCTGGTCCCTGGCTTGTTCTCAGAAACAATAAAAAACTGAAAAACATTCTTAAAGTGAGACTGCTTAAACATGGGAAAATGAAGGAGATTTGTTGGCTATGAAAACACCTGTAAAACTGAGGGACAGCAAGATGCTTCTGTCCACTTTTAGTTCCAGTAATCAAAAAAGGCAGCAGCAAACTACACAGACTCAGAACAAATGAAAGGAATGTCCTCCACCCTGCCTGTAGTTAAGCTACAGCATTTCTTGCCAGAGGATGCTGTGGTTGCTAAAAAGGTACACTGGTAATATAATCCAGATAGGCTTATGAAATAAATAGAGAAACCATTCCTGTTTAGGAAACATTAGAACTAAAACACAGAATCATAGACTGGTTTGGGTTGGAAGGGATGTTAAAGCTCATCCAGTTCCAACCCTCCTGCCATGGGCAGGGACACCTTCCACTAGAGCAGGTTGCTCCAAGCCCCTGTGTCCAACCTGGCCTTGAACACTGCCAGGGATGGGGCAGCCACAGCTTCCCTGGGCAACCTGTGCCAGAGCCTCAGCACCCTCACAGGGAAGAACTTCTTCCTAATGTCCAATCTAAACCTACCGTCTTTCAGTTTTAAGCCATTACCCCTGTCTTACCCTACATGCCCTTGTAAAAAGTCCCTCTCCAGCTTTCTTGTAGGCCACCTTTATGTACTGCAAGGCTGCTATAAGGTCTCCCCAGAGACATGACTGTTAGCTAGGGAGTATTTGGAGAATGTTACCATGTTAATGTACATTCTCTTGTTATACTCCTCCCCGCTTTTGGTCACGCCACGGACAGGATATCAGGCTAGAAAGACCTTTGCTCTTCCTCAGCACACGCATTCTCTCCAAGAGCCCCACACTTGGCAAGCAGCAGCGTTTGCTGAAAGTTTCCCCAAAAGTGTCACAGACGACTTAAAAGGGAATCAAAAAAACAGGTAACTTTGTGAAGCATAAGATCTGATCTGTGCTGAGCATAAAACAGAAGCAGAAGATTTTCATCACAGAGTAATAATGCTGAAAATAAATGATTCACAGTAGTCAGAGGAAGACTCTGTGGGCTGGTGATTGGATTCTTGCACAGGAGGGACTGAGGTGTGCAATGATTTAAGCTGTCAAAAGAAGCACTGAAGAAAAGCAGACATGCAGCAAAAGGATAAATCAGAATACTGAGAGCAGGTAAAGACCCTGTTTGCACTGTCACCTACCTCTAACCAATCAACAAGGTTAATCAATCTGCCACACTCCAAATGAAGCTTATACACAATGCATATGTCAGGGGCTTTATTAGAAATGCTTCCGCCGTCACTCTTCAAAGCTTGATTCTGGTGGAAAGGAAAGAACGCAGTAGCTTCGATTAGGTCTTAATCTTGAACGGTTTTAAAGGCTACATAGAACATTATTTCAGGAAATTCCCATGGTAGGTATTTCAGCCAGATGTTTACTGCTTGTGTGGTTAATGGCAAGTTGAGGGTACAAGGGAAAAAAGCACAGAACAGGAAAATAAGCAAGCACACCATTAAAAACAAACACCAGTAAAAAAACCACGCAGCTACTTCACTCCTGGTGTTGCTTCTACAGTTTTGTACACTTACAGAGTCTCTAATGAGTGATTATCTGATTAGGCTTTTCCCCCAATTCTTTTGCAAGTTCTGTTTACATATCAGGGGGAAATACTCTGTTCCATGGATTCAGGAAAAGAAACTAGTCAGGATTTGCCCCAGACTGTAGTATGTAGAAAAGTGTCTCTTCCCACTCCCACCCCTCAAAAGGAAGAAGGAAATCTCAGTACAGATCTATCAGACAGATATACTAAAAAGCAGAATTACTTCTCTTATCTCAGAGTTTTATCCTTGAAATGTAATGATCATTTCTCTCTGGCTTGAAACTCAGTAGCTATAAAGGCAAAAGTCTGATTCCTCACAAACTGTTCTGTATGTCAGGAAATTCACGTCATCAGCAGTGAACCATTTACTTGAGAAGTAAAAAAGCCACATGAGCCAGAAGCAAGAGCTGCAGCAACATCTCATATCGGTTCATGGTTCTTTTTTCCAGCTTTCAGTTTCATGCACTCTTAAGAATGAAAACACCCACTGACCATTCCTGTCAGTTCACAGAAATTTTTGCTTAAATGCTTTTATTCGCTAGTAAAATATGCAAGTTACTTTTGGGAGGTGTGTGAAGCCCTGGCAAGACGCCTCCATAAATAAATGCTTCTCAAGATAGAAAAGAAGGTTAGGCACAGAATGTGACTTTGCTCAAGAATCTCCAGCCTACCTTTCCCAACTCAAACCCTGCAATTTGTGAGACTCAGGTTCAGTTTGGACTCCAGCACTTAGGAGGCATGTCACAACTTCCAGAAAGCCTGACAATTGTCAAGCTCAGTTATTCTGTACAAGGATCACGGAAGCTGCAGAGATTAGGTTAACATCTGTCAGTTCAGTCCAAATGGTCTCCAGACAATTCACAGTAACATGGCTGAGCCCTCAAAATGTTACAATCCAGACATTAATTTACCAGACTGCAATTCAGGAGGGTACCATAGTAGTTTCAAGTACTACTGTGTTAGTAACCAGCCCAGTGAAGTTACACCAAGGATAACCTTTCTCTTTTGCCCTCTACTACTTCACCTAACTCTTCCTACCACTCACCCTTGTGCCAACGCTGGCATTACTGGACACTTTGCATTGATTTTCTAATCTCAAGAACAGCTCCCACTATCAAGAGAGGATGCAACTTCTAGAGCAGCTGCACTCTCCTGAAACAGGTTCATCTATAGAAATTAGTATCTAGCTGCACCACACGTAAGTGTTGAGAATGATCCAGGAAAGATACTACTCTGGCACTGCAGGGGCTCTGCCAGCACCTGGAAGAGTTCAGTCTCACTTGTGGTAACTAGGCCAAGTCTTTACAGCTTAGCAGGAAGGACTGTGTGCAGGGAAACCTCAGCTTCCTGAGGCAGCAGCACACGCACTGCGCTGAGAGGAAATAACTACACAGACAGGCAGGAAGCTGCCCTAGAACAAACAGCAGTTGTGAAACCACCAGTACAGCACCACAGAGGTGCTGCTTCAGAAGGAGCGAGGCAGTGGGAACAATCCAGCATACTGTTGATGAGGGGTTCCTCTTGCTTGACCCTGACCCCAGAAGCTAGACAGAGCACAGACTCTTGCTCTGGAAATAGCATTACTCTCTTTCCAAAGCACCAAACGCATGTAGTATCTCCTTTCCCCAGTAAGGGAGCTTAATTGCAACTTGAGGGTTTTCATTTCACAGCAATCAAAGTATCTTTGTGTGTAACAAGGCTCATTCCTTGAGATCACTGTGAAAATTGCCCTTCCTACCCAAGGTCAAGATCAAAACTTGCATGACCATCTAAACCCTAGGAAGATCCAAGATCAGATTTCCTTGTGCAGTGCCTTGCTGCTATTCCAAGTTACAATTTGCTGAATTTTCAAGGGCTCAGTGAAAAGAGAATTACACTTTTTTTTGGCAGTGTTTTTTGTTTGTTTCAGAATAAGCATGATCCTTGGCTCATGTTTTGCTAAATAAATAACCGGACTGGATTCCTGTAAGAAAGGCATCACATACTAATCATTTGCTGGTACTTCACTGAAGCAGATCCTTTTCTGTCATTGCCCCAGGGAAGGAACAGCTCTAGAGAACTTTGCTCTGGTTATGGCCCAGGAAAGTACAAGCCATGCATGCAGAAGTCAGGGATACAAACAAGAAAAAATACTTCTTTGAGTCACATGGATTAAAATGCAAAGCAAGGTACTCAGCCAGTACTGCTGCTGTCAGAAACTATGCCAAACCTTCACAATCTACTTGGAAAACACCAGAAATATGTTAAAGTGTGTCAAAGAACAAAGTGCAGGATGACAGAGGGCTTTAAACTCTGTCAGCTCATCAAAGAGAACACTTATTAAGCACATCAGTAGGTAGATTTTGGTAGCTTTCCTAATCTATATTTTTACAGGTTTTCAAAAACTATAAATGACTGAGGTTCATATTAGGTCTCTTTAATGGTACCCACTTGCTAACTACTGTTTTCACAAATAAGCTCTTTTAAGTGGTTTTAGAAACAGCTCCTGCACACAGCAAAACTGACAGCCATCGCTCCACTAAAGGCACGGTGCCAACAAACCCAGTATGAATTGGGTTGTAGATTTCAAAGACTGATCTTTATCAAGTATGACTCCTGGTAAGTGCTGGCTTTGATTCAGGTAACATATAATTACCCAGCTCCAGCTACAACCAATTGTTTTTTCTTCAAAACTGTAATCACAATTTTAAGGGAAATGTTAGGGCACAAGGATAACTCCAAGTAGAGTCTATAATCAAGGACAAAACAAAGAAACTAATGGTCACTCCTTTTCCAGATCCTGCTCTATTTCTTTCTTTTGGTCATCCTGTGAATTTGATTTAGGAAAGAAGTGGAAAAAGGGCTGTTTTTCTTCTCTAGAAAAGGGCAGGGTTAAGTAGTAGAATCAATGACAATCCTTTTCTTGGACCTTGAAAAGACATAATGTCAATACTCAACAGGTATTATAGTAAACAGACATACTCCTTTAAATATGCTGTATTTAAGCTATTGTTAATGTCATCACTCTGCCTGAACAAAGCCTTCACCTTACAGCAACTCTACACAGTGAGGACTAAGCAGCAGCCCTTTAAAGGAAGTCCCTGGAAAGAACCACAGACACTGTATTTTTCCCCATGGACAGTCATCCCATTTGTAACGGAGGACAAAATTACTTTTCTGCTACATCAACAGGATGAAGAAAAGATCATGACTAGAACAGGCTCTGGAAAAATGGATTCCCCACATAGAACCCTTTCCATAATTAGCTGCTTTATTTAAGCCAGCCAGATTCCCCAGCTCTTTGCAAACTCCCCAGCTGCTTATCAACACTAACTTGCTGGTTCTCTGCAAAACAGCTGAATGTGTGCCAAGCTTCATGAAACAGCAGAACTCAGCCTTACACATCATCATCCTGTGCAGCCTTCAGAAACCACTCCAGCACCACAAACAACTCACTTGTTTCTTACCTTCAGGTAGCTGTATGGGTTATTCAAAGCTGTGTGAAGTGCAATCCTCGGGGCAGCATTCAAGTGCCCACGGAGAACACTGGCTGTGTTGAAATAAACTATCTCATGCAGAGTCTTCTTGTCTGCTGGAACAAGGTAATTCCTGAAAAAGCAACATGAGGTATGGGGGAAGGAGGGGAGATACAAGCTTTACCTTAAGGGAAACAACAAATGTCTACTGCAGTTGAAGTCTACAAGATTGTAAGTTTCCCAACCACTACTGACATATCTCTGAAAACCCAAGATGAACAGTGCTGAAATCAACTTTTAAGCAGGGAAGGTTATTATTATCAACTCTACATCTAATGGATTTAGCGTAGCTGGACCACTGACAACAAATAAGGGCAGCAGCTGAAATGCTAACACCAGTCATGTACTCCACAGATCTTGCTTAGCCATCTCAAAGCTTCATGGTGAGTCTCTGCTTGTCATTGTCTTTATAGGTGAAGCTTTTTTCTTGGCACAGTCATACTTCTGTTAACTTCCTTGCCTCCCCCATCCCTC